GGGGGGGGGGGTTTGACGATGGGTTGTGGCTGGCGGGAATGCGTATCGGAGGAAGGCAGCCTACTCCTGCCGTTTCCTGGTACAGCGGTTCGGGGGGACGGGACATGACACTCCATTTAAACTCCATCACTCTCCATCTCCCCACAAGTCTGTCTCTAACTGCCTTCCTGACAATCGCTCCCATTAAACCAGAATACACCCACAAACAACCAGTCACTGCCCCCCCCCCCCCTTCCTCCTGAATCATCCGAAAGCTAACTGGCAGGCCAGACCCCACAGCGCGGCGTCCGAGCCTAACAGACTGTCGTGGCTGATGTGGAAACCACAGGGTCTCGTCCCGGCAGCTGCTCTGGGCCGCATCGCATCACACACACACACACACACACACACACACACACACACACACACACACACCTCAGCCCATCCATCACGTCAGACTGACTCACGCCTAATTATACGCCATCGTGAAAATCCCGCAACCACCAACGCAAACATGCGACCTAATCGGCGGCCCCTCCCCCTGCATGCTGCGACCTTCCCGGACCCCCCCCGTCCGGTCTAACTCTACGGGGACGGCTTTAAGGGTGGACCAGGCTGCACCCGGTAACTTCCAGATCGTGAGGCAACCGCATAGCGACACCCTAGCAACCATGTAGCGATACCTAGCAACACCCTAGCAACCACGTACGGAGGCCCTGGGTTAAGGACGGAGGGCGGAAGGACGTACCTCTAGGCGGCCCGTGTCGGGCTGGAAGCCGCGGGCCGGGTCCTCGGTGGTCACGCGGCACTGGATGGCGCTGCCGTTGATGCGGATGTTGTCCTGCTTAAGGCCCAGGTCCGGCAGGCTGCGGCCCTCGCAGATGTGCAGCTGGGCATGCACCAGGTCCACGCTGCGGGGGGGGGGGGGAAGCGGGGGTCACAGACACAGCAAATTCATTGGCTGACCGGACTTCACAGCCGTATGATACAAAACGGTTCCAGCGCAACACCTTGGCTGAACCTGGCATGGCTGCGGGGGAGGGGCGTCGCATTTAAACAGACCGGCCCTGCCGCACGAGCGAGCCTGGCGGAGGCAGCAGCTGCGGCCAGACGGAGGCGCCCACGTATTGCGAGTCGCAAAGTAAAACGCGAACCCAGCTGCCCCCCCCCAGACCCCGCTGTACCTCACCACTTCATAGCCATACACCATGAAAAATAAATTACATTTATGCTTTATTTTACTGACGGCCTCCCCATCCCTGACAGTCCACTGCAGCTGGAGATGAAGATGGAGAACGTCTGAGCACCAGAGTTCCCAGAATAGCCCTCGGTGGCTAAAGACAACAGAAAAATCAGCACTTAGAACCGCTTACTGAATAACCGCTTAAACTGAGCGCAGTGGGAATGCGCAATACTCCGGGAGAGAAGAGAGGAAGAAGTTTTCCCCCATAGTTCATACACAGGAAACAGTAACATACACAAATCGCAGTGCAGAATTCCCACATTTATACATGCACCTCGCTGACTAACTAATCTCTTACACAATGTATGCATAGCGGTTTGATATTCCTGCCACACACACACACACACACACACACACACGCACGCACGCACACAGGCCCCGCAGGAAGAACGGCGCCAGTCATCACTTTCCGACAACGTTTTCATATGCAGGAGACAAATTTGAGTTTAATTTCCCCTTCGACTGCGAGTGCTTCTGAGGGTGATGCATTATTCAGGCCCGTACACGCACCTAGCCGCACTTATACGGCTTACTGTTTTACACCCCCCTGATAAATAGAGCTGGGGGGGGTGGGGGGGTGCATACAGGAACAGAGGATGCTGCTTAAGTACAAAACGGGGGCCATTTACTGGAATCTTTAAAAAAATAATAATAAATTGCTGTGAGCATGGCAGCTACATCAAAACTACCTGTCGTCAAAAGAAATGAAAATTTTACCACCCCCCCACAAAAACAATCCATTAAAGTCACAAATCCCAACTGGCAGATGGCTTGACTGAATTGATAGATGCCCAGTGTCCAGGGAAGCTTCCGGATGGAGTTTCTACACATTCTTGGATTACGCCACCCCCCCCCCCAAGGATACGAATTTGTGTGTCTGGGCTGTTTTTAATAGTTCCCAATCTGGAGAAGTCAAAGGGCGCCCGCCTCTCCGGCAAATCGCTCGGGTGGGACGATATTACAGCTGATCCGCGGGAGATACTCTCAGGGTTTATATGACAGGCGAGGGACAGCTGCCAAGGATAGGGGGCAAAGAGGGTAGGCGCGCGGAAGTCGATTCTCACAGCATCTGAAGCAGAGAAGCTACTGCCCCCTGTCTGCATGGTGGGGAACTTGCGCACACGTTGACTTCTCAGAAAACCGCGTGTTACCCGAGTGCTCCAGAACAAAATAAAAACAGCAATTATAAAATTGTAAAAGAAACAAACAAAAAAAGAAAACAGGCCTCGAAAAAGAATGTTCTTCAATGTTCTTAGAAGATTCCAGAAATATTTGGAGGCATTCAGAAGTGACCAATAGGGCGAGGTATGAATGGACGTATGAATGGACGTTCTCTTATTTTAAGACGCATCTCAAAAAGAGGCAGCTGAACATCCTGCCCCATTTTGCCGATTGTCCAGATGGTGGAGGCAATGTGACGGGACAACCTGTAAGGGGACAGAGTGACAGACCAAACAGCCGCAGCCAAACATCCGTCATGAGGGTCCGCGGCTCAGCAAGGCCTTTAGGAGGATGTGACTCCGGGAAACTGCAATACTGTTCCATCCCATCGCACTTTGCTAGCGATATTCATCTCTGCTTTCGCAAACAGGAAGTTAAACGCAGGAGCGGTTCGCATCGGCATCCGCGGCGCTCAGACGCGGGCCCCACACCACCCCCAATATCGCTGTCCGTCACGCCCGCCATTTCCCATCAACCCCCATCCAGCCGCATCTGGCCCAGAAGTCACCGCTAATATTCAGAACGAAACGGACCTGGATCCCTTCACTCCAAGCTACTCATGCTTTTCTGACTCAACGAGGAGGAAGAAGCGTGTACCCGGGAGAGTGGGGGGGGGGGCAGTTAACGGGCAGATGTAAGCAGGAAAGCGTGCAGGCAGGGTTAAGGTCCTGCAGCCACATTATGGGGTCACAATCTGTGCTAGCTTGCATGTACAGAAAGGCCAGCGACAGTGAGTCACCTCCTCAAATTTACCATCAGGGCCAAAAGGGATTCGCAATGGGCAAGTGGGACCATGAAAGGCTGGGTAGATAATGTATTTGTGAATCGTGCATCTGGAGCAATCCAGAGAGTATGGAGGGGGGGGTGGTGGGGTGTTTGCCAAAACAAGGCACACTGGTACGTAACTTAGCCAGGTAAGATGTTGTGACCAGAAGGTCACTAGTTCAAATCCCAGTGTCGACAGACTTTCACTGTTGGGCTCCTGAGCAAGACCCTTAGTCACCCAATTGCTCAGGCTGTCTGACCCTGTCGCTTTGGATAAAAGCGGCTGCTAAACGAATCAGAACAACGCCAATGTTTATGGGTGTGTGGAAAGCATAGATCACAGGGTATTTCACGTGTGGAAAGACTGGTACCTTGGAACGAGGCTAAGGCAGTGCCTCACATTTCATACAGTGGAAGAGTCTTGTGTTGCCAGGCCCGAGTAGACGATCCAGAGGACAGTGACAGCTCCTGATACCGCATTTCGAAAATCATAACAGCCATCTGGTGAACTTCACGCCACAAGCTCATCTCGTTACGAAACCGGCACTCACTGCGTCCGAGATCTTTGACAGGTGGAAACTTTCTTTGCCAAAAGTGCTAGAATATCAAAACTGGTCATTAAAAAGAGGGACGTGTCCTGCAGATGGCGATGAGGACGAGGGCGGGGCGGGGGGCACTCACTCAGTGACCTCTTCAGTGACCGTGTGCTCCACTTGCAGGCGGGAGTTCACTTCGATGAAGTAGTGCTTGCCATGCTTGTCCACCAGGAACTCCACTGTGCCGGCGTTCTCGTAGCCCACCTGCGCAGAGAGACATTGCCAGTCAGTATGGGGGGGGGGGAGGTTGGGGCTGGTTTTATATGCGGAGAAGCCTGGATGCCCCCCCTTTGCCGGTTATGTTAGCATAAGCGCTAACATTAGTGACATGGCGCGGGGGTGTGGGGGGGGATATCTGACCCCACAGCAGACGGACCCGAAAAAAAGCCTGGAATTCCAGCCCACACTCCTGCATCCTTCAATGACGTTTTCTTGATGGGCAGGATTATTGCCAGGAATCTCAGGGGTGAGTTTACTTCGTTAACCGGCCGATTACACTTTGAGCCTAATAGGTTCCCTTTAATGAGGGTGTCTGCCAAGCAGTTATAGGTAAATTGTAATAAAAAGTTCCGGAATGCCCCTCTGGAGTGCAGGCTCCTTGTTCGGTTTCCTGTTCCCGAAACTTGCCGCCTCTCGCCACCAGCTCCATCCCCACGGCGACGGCGATAACTCCCTGCCAAAAATCACCGCGATCTGATCCAATTCTTCCTCGACGACCAATCTATCCCTCTTAATCCCATCCTTATCAGCCGCTGCCAAGATGAAACAGATACAGGCTCATTGGAACTAAAAAAAAAAAAATCCCTCCCCCCCGGAAACAATTTATTAGCAGCATTAATAAAAATGAGTCACCACTATACTCATTCTTTGAGCAAAAAAAATAATAATTAGATCTAATCTTTGAGGACCATCCAGCATAAGGACCAGAGTATGGTGAGTCTGGAAACATTTTAATTAAAAACTTAACACCTGAACACCATGCAAGGTGAAGGAGTATGCAAATAATTCCTTTGATATTAAAGATGACAGGAACCACCATGACATGAAAAGTGGAAGGCTAGCAAAGTACTGTAGCTGGGTCCCCTTTAATGCAGGTCTTCCTACCCGCTGCGCGCCATAGATGTGCCATTAGAGTCTGAAAAACAGGCTCAGTAAAAAAAACTAGCAGGGACCAGACTCCATGAAAATAAATCTCCAGGTGGCACATAGAGAATAACTATCATTTATATCCATTGTGCTGAACTCTCTGCTTCATTATGGTGAGAAACATTCAGATAAATTTAAACTGGGGGGGGTATGACAGGAACACAAATCGGTGCAGGAACAGGTGGGCGACACGTGACAGAAGAGGAGAATTAGCGAGGACACTGAAGCCGAATACGGCGTTTATGAAGCTGGGGAGTACGACGGCGGCGAGGAGGTGGTGGTGGTGGAGGAAGTGCGGCTTTGATGGATCGTCACCCGGAACATTCTCATCTGCATGCATCTACTGACCCGCTGCTGTCGCACTAGCTCCCGCAAACAGATCATCCCTCATATACAGCATGGGTGGGGGGCAAGACGAATACACAAACACAAGCCCCTCGCTGAAAAATTTCCCACACCCGCCTCTCAGATACATCACCGGCATTCACACAGCACCACAATGTCGCTAAACCAACAAAATAATAATAATCAATAAACATGCCTCTCCCCAAAAACCAGCCATAACCTCCTTCCCCCATCTAACATCTCAGACATGAAGCCCCAGTTCAGAAAGCCTTTCCCAGACGATTCCACCCTTCCGATATTTTCACAACATTGTAAGAGAGCAGTAAAACTTTTCTCACCGTGGCGAACTTTGACCTGCCTCTTAAACTCCTTTAGACTCTAAAATAATCACGGCCCCATAGCTAAACATCTTGCCACAGTCGGCAGAGGTATAAAACCAGCGGATTCCCATTAGAAATCCGAGAGGAGGCAGCTGGTGATATTTTCGACTGGAGATTTACCTGTCGGGGGCATGTCTGACACCGGGGGCTTAAGTCTAGCTGGCAACTGAACTGCAATTAATTACGGGAAGACTGACATGTCAGACACTGATCCGGGATTGGTTTCACCAGCCCGCATCTGACACATCAATTAGTAAAACAAAAAAAAAAAACCAAAAAAAAGTGAAAAATAAGTCCTGAATCGCCCGGAGAGAGCCCAGAGCTCTTAATGAGCCGAGCGCACGTTAAAGCCCGCGCCGACAGCCTTCGTTAGCGGGGAGATGGAACTTTCCGGGGGAAGAAAAGCAGAGACGACGTAATAGCAGGTGGCACGGTGAGGGTGTCGGGAGAGCGGGGGCACGATGCCAGAGATGGGTCTGACACAGCCTGGGACGGGAAGCGGGAAATGGCGCGAGCGGATCATGTCTCCCGGAGAAATGAGAGAGATTCATGGGGAAGAGAGATGAGTGAACAGATGAACACGGATCGCAAGCATGAGATGGGGATATTAGGAATAAAATAAATAACAGGGGGCGGGGGGCTTACATTTGCATTATACTTATTTAGCAGATGCATGGTTAGCCTGCAGCAATTGGGGGGGGGGGGGGGGTCAAGGGCCTTGCTCTTGGGCCCAATGGTGACATCACTCTGCCGAATCTGGGACGTGAACCAGCAATCTTCCGGTCACAGACACAGCACCCTAACCTGCTTACCTACATGCCAGCCACCAGCAACAAGTGTGGGCCCATATGGAGGAGTGAGGGGCACAGGGCTGGGGGGGCGTCGGCAGTGTCTGTTCATTGGCTACCCCAACTTTGAGTTACCCTCCGATTGGATGGTGAAAAAAAACGTACAAAAGCTAGACACTTACTGGACATTTTGCAGAAAAAAGTGATTTGTTTGCTGGCGGGCAAACATGCGCCAAAGAATGTAACATGCGACGTTACCACAGCGACAATGTCCCCGTGTGGGGACAGGTGATTGCATCCAGGCTTGAAGTTTATATCCTAGAAAATCACCATAAGCAAGGTAATCAACCTAAGAACACACAAGTTTCTCACACAGGCCTAATTAAACGGTGCCCAGGAGAGCGACATCTGGAAAACGCCCACGGCCTTTAGGAAAACAGAAATGCCACAAAAGCTGTCCCCAGCATTCCCGGGAAGCCGGTGTTACGACAGGGGGGGGGGGGGGGCAGAGCTGCTAGATTTTCCGTGGATGGGCCACAGCAAACAGACGAGCTGGAGATTAAGGTCGGCTGGGACACACACGTGCAAATACACGAGCAGACACATGTGCAACCGCAAACACGTGCACACACACAAGCAAGGACACACACACACACACACACACACACACACACACACACACACACACACACACACACACACAAGCAGACACACGCGTGCAAACACACACCCATGCGCTCCGCTTGGCCGCCGTTCCCACCTCACAAAAGCAATTCCTCAACTTATCAGAAAATTAATGACAAGATGGAGGCAGCCAAGCGGAAATGTGAGCAAGACAATGAGAGAAACAAACACACACAGGGTTAGCAGATTAGGGGGGGAGGTGGGAAAAAAACAAAACAAAAAAACAAACAAAAACTAACAAAAACAGATTGCAAACAAAAGATAAGGAAGGGAGGTGAGCAGAGGAGAGTTACGGGGCCTGCTCAGGAGCTCTCAGATCTCTTGACACGGTGGCACTGCAGTCTGGCCCTTTGCACGAGGAGAACACACTGTGACTAAGACTTCCACTTCCACCGGCAGAGGTGACGCTGACCGGCAAGGCGCCCCGCAGATGACGCTCTGCCTCCTCCTTGTCACCCAGAAGCTTTTAATTAATGACTGCACCGCGCCCCCCCAAGGGGAGGGCTCTATAAATAGGCATTAGAATACAAGCTTGTTTGCACACGAGAGGGGGGCCAGAACGCCACTGCCCAGGTTTGAGGGGGGCTGACACTTCCTCGGACGGCTCGGCTGAGGGGAGAAGCCCAGCCCGGATTGAGCTCTGCGATAGGCGGGACACAATTTCACAGAAAAAGGATGGAATGGAGAAAACGCTACGTAAATCCTGGGATTTGAACCAGGAGCCTCCTGATCACAGGCACGGTGTCCTAATCCACTGAGCCACACACCTGCTCCATCTCTTGGTTTATCCAATAGACAGTGTCGTCACAGGACCGTTTGGGGTTGGTGTGTGGTTCTTTGGTTTAGGACTGTTCCTGTCATCAGATGGTTATAGCCTCAAATCCCGAGGCTGGCAGAGTGACTTTGCCACTAAACCCTTTAAAGAGCACCGGGGAACCTTCCGTTTCTGCACGAGTGTTGATCGGCTGAGCTACCACCCACCCCCGTATTGGGAAATATCATCCTTAGGGGGCCACATAAAATAGTCAAACATGTCCAGCAACACGAACCTGCAGCCCCCCCCCCCCCAAGGCTCATGTACAGCCCAGGGAGTCTTCACAGCTCTTACCATGTCCATCCCCCCCACCGAATTAAACTTCGCAGGACTGCAAACTCCAGTGGCTCGCACAGTCAACACAAGGCAAACCATCAAACCATCCCCAGAAAATCACGCAGGAGAATCAATATAAATATGCAGCCCCCCCCGCCCTCCCCCCAGCCAGTGGGGTGGGGTGGGGGGGGAGCCCAGTGGTGAGCCTAGAACTCCACAAAAGATCAAATGAGGATCGATTCCGGAGATCAAACAGAAAGAGTTTGAGATGTAGGACTTGCTTGCAGATAAGGATACCTCTACCGCAGCAGAGATGGAGCGAGCTTCCTGGGGCGGGGGGGGGGCAATACTCGAGCACCCAACAACTCGCACTCGACTCAGAGGTGACATCTGACTGGAGCTCAATAAAGTGGCCCTTTCCAGCAGAGCCGTTTTGTTTACCTTCACACTGTCTATATCGGTTTTGTGTTTATGGGCTCAATACCGTGTGGGTGTCAGACTCATGATTATAGGAGGAGGTATTTTGTACAAGGCCTCCCTATGCCCCCCCCCCGCCCCCCTCACTCCCAGAACTGTTACCCGCCATATGTTTTGCTCCAGTTTGCTTACAGAGTGAAGTAACCTCATGGACAGCAGAGGTATAACGATCTCCGCCCCTAAAGCCAGCCAGCCAATGGCAAGGGTGGCTCCGCCCACACCAATGTCCCGCCCATGACACAGGGACCCAATCATGCCAGAGGTTGATCTCTGCCCCAGTTGCTGTACCCAGCAGACAACTCCTCAGAAACAGGCTCCACCCCCCCCAAAGAGTTGCATTCCCATGATCCTGTTGATGGGAAATTAACACACATCTCGTTTTTCTCCACCAAAGTTCCACCCCACGAGCGCCGTCGCGTTTCATCATTTATATCCCGCTGTGTCCGCTAAACCGACATCACAGCAAGGGGCCTGGCCGCTCCGTGTTGCCGGGCAGTTTGGAGGAGGTTACACCCTCTAGTGGGCAGGAGTAGCATGGCAATTACGGCATGGCCTGCTGCAGAGCGCGAGCAGAAAGTTCCAGAACGGTTTCCACCATGTGGGTCCCGCCTAAGGCTTGTCGTTGTCCGGAAGACGTGACAATGAACACGGTGCGGGCATCACGCTGCCACAGTCATCCCAGATCATGTTGCCATGACGGCACTACGTCAACGGAAGAAGAAATCAGAGGCGCTAGCGGGCCTTGAGCGTACACTGTGCTGACCGACTCCCCATAGTGCCTTGGGGCTTGGGTCCTCGTCACATGAAGGACGCTATCCAGCAGCCACAAGTGTTACTGCACACACGCATGCCACAGATTAAAAGCTCTTCGATCCCCCCTAACGGCAGAGTCGTGGCAGTTCCCGTTTCCCCCCTTCAAGCCGTGAGCCAGAATTTACTGCCACAACAAACCACATCAAGGTGATAAAACTGAACCACAACCGAACAGCTAAACCAGATTAAGAGCTCATCCTCAAAAATCACAGATGACTCATGAACTAATGATCAAACACCTCCAACCTGAAGAACAACCCCCCCGACAAGAGGCACACATTTGAAGGTTCCTTCCCTGTTTTGTTTTTATTATGGGATGCATCGCAGGTCTCTTGCATCCCCTGTTGTGGCTCATTTTTAACCTCTACTAGCTCCACGCAAAGACATCTAATTAGAAAATTAAACACATTAGGAGGACAGAAAAAGGAGAACTTGATCATTTAATTGCCAAGTACCGCGTTCTGGTAATGAGAAGGCAGGTGGGTACTAACAGATCATCAGCATTTACAGGTAGGTAGTCAAGAGGATCAAAGGATGACAGATGCAAGCATGTACATTTACTTACTCAGCAGATACTCTCGTCTGAAGCGGTGCACAAGCGAGAGAGCAGAACTAGTAAGTTTCCCTGGAACAATTACGGTTAAGGGCCCCACTTAAGGGTCCAGTGTAAAATCACACTGCCAACAAGGGGATGTGAACCCATAACCTTCTGATGACAAATACAGTCCTAAACCATAGAGTTACACACTGTCCCCCAGCTCTAGGTTCATGTATAAGATGGTGTCGCCGTACACCTGCCTGGGGGCGGTGCACGACTTTGTGGTTTAGCACCTTGCCCGTCGTCAGAGGGTCATGGGCTTACATCCCATTACTGGCAGAATGTGTGGCTCAGCAGCTTTGGGCACTGACGCCCACGTCCAGAAGGTTGTTGGTTCAAACCCCACAACCTTCAATTGCTCCAGGGACTGACCATGCTTTCTCAAATGCCATGGATGAAAGAGTCTGTTACACAAGATGTAAAAATGAAACCCCAGCAGAATGCAGAAATAAGCCCTTAAAATAACCCCCAAAGCCTCCAGCCTATCGCCCCAGTGCAGGTTCATCTTCGATGCTTAAAGGAGCATGTGCATTAGCCTTCCGACACTGAGCCCAGCAGGGCATCGCATGTGGGTCTCACTGGCGCCCTCTGGCCAGGCCTCGGGCGATGAACAGCCACACAGGCGTGACCCGTTGGCAACAGCTCACATCTTAAATGATTAAAATAAAGATCTGAGCGCAAAACACTGTCGGCATCAATTGAAAACGCGCATCTCTTCACCCAAGTGCAACAACTGCCTGGCTGCTGAGAGAATTTTTAACCAGAACTCGACGAGTTACCATTCGGGCTGCGTACGCAGCTGTACGGCATACTTTCACACCTATTATTGATGCACATGGTCTGAATATGGTTCTGGGATAATCAGGATCTTACGCTAACTGCTACGAAATTAACTAATCAGCTAGGGCAAAAATCACAGGGACACCTATACCAGTGCCATGAAAAACTGGGGTGACATTTTCCAGAATGTTTGTTGCTGGCTCATAGTTGACGTGTCACCTACCGGGCAGCACTGAACACACAAGGTGGCATATTACCAGCTCAGGATCATTCTTCCCCAGTTACAGGTTTTTTTTTTTTCCCCCCTCAGACTTGAGGGCAAAATTTACGGAGTACAGCCAGCTCCCAACACACTTGTACCAGGTATTCTGTTTGCTGATTGGCTGGGAGTGGGGAGGGAGCAAAAATGTGAACTGTCATGGGGGTGCCAAGATCGAGCAACACTGCTTCAGAAGACAAAATGTAACCAAAATAGCATTAGATCAAGTCCCGAAAGGGCCTCATGTATTATGTGTAAATGAAATCGAAAGGCCACTGCCAGAGGGGGAGAGAGAGAGAGAGAGAGAGAGAGAAAGAAAGAGAGAAAGAAAGAGAGAAAGAACACTGAAGGTCTCCGGACAAAAGTGTGAGCTGTACCTGTTTGGCCAGGTTGACGGAGTCGGCGGTCAGTCTGTCCCGCAGGTGTGGATCCAGCTGAGCTGCTGGAGCTATCTCCACAACCTTCTGGTGTCTCCTCTGGATGGAGCAGTCCCTCTCGTATAGGTGGACCACGTTGCCGTACTTATCGCCTATGAAAGACCGAGAATCTCAATAAAAGAACATTTTAATCATCGGTAACATTGTCATTGCATCCAGGCTTCAGAAAAAAGAAAGAAATACTGAAGCTGAATGAGGGGGATGTAATGAGTCTGACACACATTATGTCCCTTTCAATTTAAATTGACAATAAAGCAGATAAGGACTTTTTCTGGCAGGGACATGACAATTAAGCCATTGTCATGCTCAGTCCATGGTCAGCCTTAGACCCCTGATAATCGAGGGGCCATGGTAACGCAACGAATACTTGCACAGTATGTACTGAATTTTCCTAGATGCCTACTACTCAACTTAATGTAGTACATACTATATGCATGCATTAGAAATAGTTTGCATGCGCTTGGATATGCCAGTGTCTATACCTAACCTGGATGTTTACCAATGGATGCAGCTTGATCCTCAAAAAAGTTAAAAATGTAACTATGAATGAAAAAAAAATACATTTGAGTGAATTTATGGATACCGTTTTCTACTTAAAATTACACGGAGACAGCACTTTATCCGCCATCGTGAGAAATTTCTGAGCAGGAAACGTTCTACGCTGCTCCAGTGGCTTTGAGAGAAATTGTAGCCTCCATCGGAAACACTTCAGAATTTTGCAGAATGTACTTTGTCATCCAGGTACTGGACGCCTTTTGTTTCATCCATACTGAGAAGTCAGACATACTGTTTACTTTGCATACTATATCGCAGATAAGAATATAAGACGTAAATTTACAAACGAGAGGCGGCCATCCGGCTCATCAAGCTCGTTTGGGGAGAACTTAATAGATCAGAGCTGTTAAAATCTTATCTAGCTCAGATTTAAAGGAACCCAGGGTTTTTTTTTTTTTTTTTGGGTCCATTTTCCTCAGACTTGAGGGCAAAATTTACAGAGTGCACTGTGGGCACGCGAGAGATGGACTGAAAAGATCAGGAGACGTACTCTAGAACACCGTTCCACAACCTGGTTCTCAGTAGCCCCCAGACAGTCTACGGTTTGGCTCCCTCCCCGCTGCCAACACGCATGTACCAGGTATTCTTTGTTGACCATAGCATACTTGTTTGCTATGTACTATTTCAGATGCGCACCCAGTGTTTCAGAACAGCAGGGTGAGGTCAGAAGTCAACTAGCTAAAGCAGATCCCCACACTCACCCAGTATCTGAACCTCAATGTGACGTGGCTTCTCGATGAACTTCTCCACAAAGAGAGCTCCGTTCCCGAATGCGGCGAGTGCCTCTGAGTATGCCCTCTGGTAGTTCTCCTCTAGCTCCTGTACCAATCAGCGAAGGTGACCAATCAGTGTGCGTGCCCACCAACCGATCAGCCAATCTGCATCGCCCTCGGCCGTGCCTCGCCCTCTGCTGTTCCGCCCATTCCCTCACTCCCTGGTTTGTCCACCAATTAGAAGAGGTCGCCTCCCCGCGGACCAGCGTGCTAACGGACCATTTCGTGCCACCTGTTTACCAATTCAATCTAATGACTTGAGACGGAAATTGAGTAGAACGCAGCCCTTCAGATCAATCGGCTAAGCTCACCTGCGACCCCATTTCCATTATCTCCACACGAGCCGCTTAACAAACAAGGATAATTTCACTC